ACGGGAATGACCATATGCCGATTAGGACCCTCCGTCCTTATCTCCACATGAGTAGTCCTCTCCATGAAGGTCCGTACCTCCTCAGGGTCGATGTCTGAGCCAGAGTCATCGTCCCCCGCAGGGACAACTCTACTTCCCCGGCCGCCGATGATGATCCACCTTCTGCGGTCCGTGTAAGCTCTCCACTACCACGAACCCCTCAACTCCAGAGGGTATCCTCTCCATGACAACCCGCCGTAAAAACGGCCTCGATGTCTGGCGTAAGCACATATTCGGCTTCCAAAGCAACGAACCTTTCCAGCTCAACATCAGCGACAATGGCCTTCCCGGTCTCCACCCTTCACCTTTTCCTCGATGATGTCTTCTCGCCATTAGATGGCTCGTCTACAAGGTGAAAAATAGGTTGAGAAGAGATTTCATCTCGCACGGCAATTGTTTGAGGGTCTGACCTTCTCGAGCAGACTCAGCTAAAGCAAATTGCATTCCGGCCGATGCGACAACTTGGCAAAATGCAGGTACTAGAGCCTTCGCTTTTTTGGAAACTCGCCGACCTAGCACCAAAAGAAGGTCGCGTCAAAAGGCAATAGTGAACGACAATAAGTTAAGGTAGAAATAACACTTATTGGACAAAGTCTTGGGTCCAAAGCACTTGTGAAAGGATGCCTAGTCGCGAATTCCCATGGTGTGGGGTAACACACAAGTCACCCAATCTTCAATATTGAAACGGGAGAAGGTGCACGCCTCTCAGCTGAAAACAAGAAAGCCATGAGATTCGAAAACAAAAGATAAAGGAAATAATGAACATACGATAGGACGCTTACGATTATAATTCCATTGCTCGGGGAACCCGATCTGATTCGTCACCAGGTGCTCGGTCTTGATAAAGAAGTATTTATGCCAGAATCGCCGATTTATCTTATCATCCATCCCCGCCACCAACCCCTTGACCCCACGATGCCGCAGATGTATCAACATACCTCTATATAAGCTGGGTGAGAATAGATGCAATAGATGGAAAATATTGACCTCACAGCCGGCCAACTCTGCATACTTCGCCAGCATCAGAAAATCTTTGTATAAATAAGGGGAAAGCTACGTCAGGGAAACATTATAAAAGTGACAAAACTCCTCCGCTAATGGGGGGAGAGGAAGAGAATAACCAACTAAGAACGGGTAAACATAGAAATCACAATATCCAGGTCGATGAACCTGTACTATGTCATCTCCCGCCGGGATAATCTCGACATGAGAGGGAATACGGTACTTGGACCGGAGGTCGGCTATTTGACGCAGCCCCATCTCAGAAAGCTCTTGAGCATGAGCAGGAGCAGATTCCTTTGGGAAATCATGTCTGACCAAAGGATTCTTGGGAATCACCTTCTCCACGGTGAGAAAACTATCTTCCTCCTCAACAACCGATTCTTATTCGCCGGGAGGAATGGCCACCGATAAGGGAGTGGCATCGCTGACTCCATCGTGAATGAGAGGGGAATTTGACATATTTCAATAGTAAAGTGTATACAGCAAAGTCAGAGAAAAAAGATGTCAGCCGAAAAAAAAATCGGGGGCTGAAGTTGAAGAAATTGCAAGAAATCGAAAGTGGAGATCTAAGAAGAAGATCAAAGAAAAACAATATGCATGCAACAAGGGGAATGCTGAAAGTTTAAAAAATGAAACCCCTCCTCTACTTATAGGGTTGGGTAACACCGAAATCGAGGCAGAAAAGCTGTCTACGTCACCAAAAATGAAGCGATAGAAGCACATACATTGCATTGGGAAAACGCATAATAATGACGCGCGTGGCATGATGTCATCCTACGATTTCCACACCAACCGCAGCCCCGCCTCCAGTTCGACCTCGGCCAATTCGATTCAATCGTTACGACCAAATTTCCTTTGAACGACTGTGGACAAGATTTGCTCATTGAGGACGTCCAAGATCACGACCTCAACAAGTGGAGGGACTAACTGTATTGGTCAAAATTTGGATTAGACTTAATAGTTGTAAATGGACGTAGTCGAGGATTAAACCGGCCACAGCATAAGGGCGAGGAGTCGTCTTAAGAGTGATTAGCGCTGAGGTCGAGTAACGGGTGTATGAAAGTAACGGTAGGATAAGATTGAATAGAAAGAAGGAATATTCTATTAAATATTCCTTCAGTTATACTTTTCTGGGGTTTCTCAGGGATATCCCCTATAAATAAAAAGAGATAAAGAACAAAAGAGGGATCTTCAATAAGAGCACATTACAAAGGGTTGACTAAAGAGAATATACAAAAGCTTGTTCACTGATCACATTACTCGATTTATGTTATTCACTCACAAGATCCAAAGATTCCTTACACATCTTCATTTTTTACCACCCCACATTGTTGTCAGGGAAGAAAATCATCCAAGTCACCTAACATTTAGGTGACAAATCCCTTCTTATTACATTTATTGTCATTATCTACGTTTATTGCATACTTCTATTATGATATTCATTGACAAACATTAGTCATATACTTGATATTTATTGTTCATGAGCACGGTCTCATCCCACTGATATTTTTCTATTTTAGATCTAGAATTTATTATATTTAACTAGGATTCACTCTCTATTTCCTCATTAATTGTTTTAACAAAAAACTCAATACTTTAGGGTCAAACAAAGACGAATCAACATTGTTACAAAATAATAAATAGTGGGCTTTTTTATAAAATATAAAAGTTTGGGGTAATTTTTAAAAAATACAATAGTAATATTTTGGGCCAAAATCAGCTCTTGAGCTGCTTTTGGGATTTGAATTTTGGGAATTTGCCAAAATATGGATAAAATTTATGAACATCATGTATTTGCCCAAAAAAAATCCGAATAAATTTTGGCAAAATCTATGGCCAAAATGGGTCCTAAATTTATTTATTTTGAAAGTTGTTTTTCTGAAAAATATTTTTTGAAAAAAGCACTTTTGGATAATAGTAGTTTTATGTTTGGATAATTAATTTTTTAATAAAAATTTAGTTACTCAATGAAAAAACTTTTATCAATATTATAGCAATAATTTATGCTTTGCCCAAGATTTCAAAATGCGCTTATGAGAAAATTCTACTTTTTAGCTTATGAACAATGACTTTTGCTACTATGTAAAAGTATTTGTTTTTCTCCTAAAAACTGGCCAAACAACTCAACTATCTAAAATAAAAAAATATTTTATTTATATATAAAAAAGGTTTTGGATCAAAAAAGCTTGGCCAAATCCTTACACTTGTAATGGCAAAAGTTCAAGGTGCTGAATTTTGGCACACTTTTCCTACTTTGGCATTGGACCAACTTTGCCTACTTTTCTTTTTGAATGAAAGTAATAAATAAAATAAAATATGGAACAACACCGCATCAATATTAGCTAATCTTTAGATCAGTAAGCATTTCACTTCTAGTATATTAAGTAAAAATAAAAAAATGTTATCTCAAGCTTCTTTCTTATTTTTATTTTTCTACTATATTTTTGGGTAAATGATTATTAAGAAGTTTTTAATAATTAAATTGATGACAATATTGCTTTTAACAATTGGTAGAATAGGCTTCTATTACGAAATATTAGTTTGGATTGTTGAAAAAAAAAAGAAAGAAAAAAAAGACATGTTTCAAGTTTCTTTAATCTAGCAGGATCTAATTAAATTATCCTAAAATTTGTAACTTTGACAATATGCAACAATCCTTATGTATTTTGAACAAGCTTTCTTTATGATTATAGTGATCACTTTTCGTGACTTTTTGCTTACCATTATTGGATTTCTAATTTCAAATTCTAGTCGATGTAAATAAGGTTGCTTTTTACAAAGTAGAAGATAATATTATTAAAGACCATAGAAATTACCATTCTCTAAAGCTAACAAGTAACTAAATATACTTTCGAAAAAGTAACAAAAAAAAATAAAAATAAACGTATTAAGTAATAACTACGAGAGTGTCAACACAAACTAAGAAAATAAAATGCATAATAGGCATGAGCTCGTGTACAAACTTTATCATAGCATTATAGACATCGATATCTCGCGAAACTTGAACATTTCAATAGAGTTGGTTGAACAGAAGTGTCACCATATATATAATTTACACTAATCTCCATTTTTCTAATATTATAAAAGTCATAGTCCCTACTTTCATCCCATGCTTAATATTCATAGTCCAAATTTAAAAAAGAGAAGAAGAAGAAGAAGAAAGCACCAAGTTAAGACTATTCAATGTTATAAAAGAATAGGTGCGTAAGAGTACTTTGAATTGTATTACCAATGGTTATGCTGAAATAGCAAAAGGGTCATTTAATTTGAATACAAGTTATGCCGGGATTATTTGTGCTGAGATTAATTATACTAATATTATTTTTTATTGACTATTTGATATGTTGTATTAGTTCTGAAATTATCAATTTTACTGTTTTATCTTGGGATAACTTATCCTAGGATAATTATTTCACCCTATGGCAAATATAAGTTATTCTGATACTACTTTTAATCATGTGATAACTTATCTCGGGATTACTATTCCACCCTCTGGCAGATATACGTTATCTCACTATTATTTTAAATTTTGGAATAACTTATTCCGGAATTAGTAATCAAACAAGGGATAATGCGATACTAAATTTTATCCCAAAATTAATTTTACTTATTTATCATACCAAACGACCTCTTAGTATCTCTCAATTCTTAATCGTTGTATTACCAACGATTTTAAGTTCGAGCCATAAAAATGAAATCGTCTATGATAAGAATGAAATTGTACCTTTAAATAAGAATTTCGATCCAAATCCAAATTTAATCGGACACCAAAATAAATACGTACCTAATAGAAATAGATAGAAGTACTTTGAATTGTGACCTTGACCGTTACAATGTGGAACATGGATAGAAATTCAGTTTATTCAGCCATCTTTCTTGTACCCCTCAAAAGAAACGTAAACTATGCATTTAAAAGCAAAGCAAAACCCATTTTAGTCTTCTCTTCTTTATTTGTCTCTTTATTAGAAAACTTTAGTTACTATATTTGTTTTTTCCCACAAGAAAGAAAGAAAACAGATATATAATCTGTGGAGCGCATTCTCTTATAGCCAAAATTCTCTGAATTCCTCAATCTCATTCGTATTTCTAAACTAGCCACATCTTTCTGTTTTAGCCCTTCAACGCCCCAGGTAAATTCTCTATTAAACCCTTCAAAATTCTTATTTTTGAATCTAAATCTAGGTTTTCATGTTTAATTATTGAAAATGATTTATGGTAATTTTTTCAAATTTGTGTAGATGGAGATCGATAAAGCAATTAGAGAATGTGATGATGGAAGATTGAAGACTAAGTATAATAACGCCATTTACGTTATTAGAAGAGCGCTAGCTCTTTACTCGTAAGTTTCCAAAATCATTTGTAGATTCAACTTTATTGATCTGCTCTAAGTTTGTGCAATTTTAAACAATCAATGTTACTCCCTCCGTCCCAATTTCTGCGGCCCCGTTTGACTAAGCACCGAGAAATTGAAGACTTTTAAACTTGTGGTTTGTGTCACTATAATTGATTGCATTAAGTTCAAAAGGGAAATTTTTAAAGGTAAATTGTTTTTGAATGTAGAAAAAATGATATTCTAAAAAGGAAAGAATGACACATAAATTGAGAATGAGGGATTATTTGCAACTGGAAGGGACGTGGGAGTATAACATATAGCGTAATACTTCATTTTCAAGTTCACAGCATTGTGATATCAGAGCATATTATTATCTTGTTACCTTATATTATGCTGCTAAGCAATAAATGCACAAAATTTCACTTTTTGTTTGAAGTTGTTGAATTATTAGTAAGTGATGCTTCCACTTTGTTTTTTTCTATAAATTTATAACTATGATTGATTTGCTCATCTCGGCTATTCCACTGGGTACCTGCATCCTCTCAAGGGTGGAGTTAGAAGCTTGAGTACGGGTTCGGGTGAACCCAATGGCTTTGTCCAAACAATGTAGTTGTGTTAAGAAATTCGTTAAATATATACAAATATAATATTTAGAGCCCAGTTTTTAGCACTTGAAGTCTTTGTCCTAAAATTCACAACCCATAAAGTTGAAATCCTAGCTCTGCCTCTGCATCCTTTTACCAATATAGTAGGAGTAACTTTACCCGCCCAGATAGATGAGAAGAAATCAACTGCAAGTCTACACGCATAGATGCATAAGCTATACTCCCTCTATCCTTATTGTGTTGACCTAGCTGACATTTCTTGGATATTAAGGGGTTATAATTTGGATGAGGTATTATATCTAGATTCAGCAGAGAACTTGTGAAACTAATTCCTCGATTAAAAAGTGTATATAAGTGTCACATAAAATACAATAATGATATGGATCAATACTATTTATGTTAATTGGACTTTTGGAAAAATGGTATAGTTTGTCTTTTAGAGAAAGAGGTCCTTTTTTTTTTCTCTATCCAAAAAATAGGATAATGGGTAAATAAAACAGGACGGAATGATTTGCATCTTTGAACATGATTTGATCTGAGAGCTATCACTACTACTTTTCTGTTTTAAAATGAAGTTGGCTAAGCATTTCTCAGCTTTCTTTGTTTTGATATTGCTTATGTCCCCACACTGAACAGTGTACAAGAGGTTGCGTTAAGCTTTAATGGTGGGAAAGATTCTACTGTAAGTTCTTTACGCCTTTCTTGGTGTTGAGGTATAAATAGTTCGTTTTCATAAATTTTTGACCACATATATGAATTTTTGTGATTCAGGTTTTGCTTCACCTGCTGAGGGCAGGCTGTTTTCTACATGAAGCTGAAGAAAATAATTCAGGAGGAGATGCAGCTGATGGCGGAAAGACATTCCCGATACGAACAATATATTTCGAGAGCCAATCTGCTTTCCCTGAGATCAACTCATTTACCTATGAAGCTGCAGCAACGTATGTGAGAAATGATAGTTTACCTTGAACCAATTTTATATAAAGAAGCTGATACAGTGGTGTCGCTGTATATGATGTCATCTCCCTTATTAATCATTTGGCTTGATCTCTCTTCTCTTGCAGTTACAACATACAAATGGATATTATTAGACTTGATTTTAAATCAGGTCTGGAGGCTTTGCTAAAGGCAAATCCAATTCGAGCTATTTTTCTTGGTGTCCGAATTGGAGATCCTACTGCAGTAAATATTTAGTTAACTAATCCAACTAGTCAATGATCTTCTAAATGTAAACCAGTATGATCTGCGGCTGACCACTGCTTATGGAACGTACTTTTCAGGTAGGTCAAGAGCAATTCTCACCTAGCTCGCCTGGGTGGCCACCTTTCATGAGGGTGAACCCAATTTTGGACTGGTCATACAGGTTTGGGTACACCTTATATGCAACTCATACACATGCAATATAAGTTGGTAAAACTGATGGGTGCAAATAAGAGGAAATAAAAAGGAAATCTAGCGGTTCTCAATCTTATTCTATTAGACTTTAAAACATGAATCCAAGTAGGATATTAATTATCATCATACCTCACCATTTTCATCTGAGAAGAGACGACTACAAAATGCTTTTGCAGATTAATGTTAATATATTGTCGATATTGACATTCATTTGTTCTTCATGATTTTTCATGGAAATACTGTTAGAAGTATTAGTAGCCTCTTGAGTTTTTTTTTTGAAGTACAAACACTAGCTTCAAGTCCATTGACAGTTGGATTGAGATTAAAGCTTAATTATTCAAGGAGTGTAAGAAAGCAACTGTTGTTTCTAAGGATTTTAAATAAATTCCAAATGGAGGTCACTAGAACATGTTAAAAGTAGATAATGGTTGACTTGAACTATTTCTTTTATAAGTTGGTTCCCTCGAACTATAGAAGATCAATTATGTACTTAAGTGTTAAAGATAGCACTTCTGATGCATTGATGCTCGTAAGAGCTGCTTTTCTTGTTGAAATGCATGAAGAAAAGGGCCCCAGAAAGACAGCAGGCCGAAGAGATAAGGAAGAAAAAAGAGGAAGAGTTTATTGATTATCAAGCATGTTGGTCCTTACCTACAAGGAAAACCCTATTATAATACCAGGGACTGGTTTTGGTCTTTGTTTGGTGTTATTTTACGGTAAGGAGCTGTAAGATATTAATTGATGAAATCCACCAATGACAAGCATAAGACTATTGTTTATGGTTCCAATCAACCAGTTATCATAACTCTGATTCCAAGACAACCCAATGTCAAGGCATCATAGCATTGCTTCATTTCCTTATAGGCAAATTGCACATATAAAAAGTGAAGGTGGAGTCGAAAGAGTTAAAGAATAGAGAGATTAAGGTGAGTGTGTGTCCTTGCCTATGCCCCCCCCNATTATGTTAGAAATTTAGAAATATTAGGTTCTTAAGTTAGATATCGTGTTTGTACTCTGTTTGACATTTATAAATGGTGTGTTATGGAGTTATAGATACATCTTTTCTTTTTGTTCTTTAAATCTTATTTTCTGGTAGCAGAATATCTATGCTCTTGCCCCTACCTTGAGAAGATAGAGAGGCTGTTTCCGATAGACGCCACTTGTGGGATTACACTGGATTTCTTGTTGTTGTTGTTGTTGTTGTTGTAGAATTTCTACGATCTTGACAGTGTCTTAAATAACTTCCATTTATCTGAGGGTGATTGTGCCACTTGCCCTTTCGAAGTGTCTTTTTCCTCACAGTTGTACTTTCTTGACCTTTTATATGACTGTTCCAGCAGTACTGGTCCCGTTCCGGTGGTCGTGCCAGCGGCGACATGTCTATTTTCGATGAATTTTGCAACGTCACCCTTGTTCTGGTGATCATTCTGGCAGCACGACCCTGTTATGATTATCATTCTGGTGGCACTGCTTTTTTATTTTTCCACGAGCATTTCAGCATTTTTCTTGAACCCAATCCCCCAAACCTCTAACCTACCTACGGAGGTAGAGGGTCTCTTCTCTAGGCTATTCCTTTTGTGTCTTTGTATCTTAGCCATTCTTTCATTCACTATTTCTCCATTTTCTGATCATTTCTCTTGTAATTCTCTAGCAAGAATTACAAGAGAAATTCTTGTAATAGGTTGACAGAGCATGTTAGAAAATCTAACTCAACTAGGTTTCCTCACCTTGAGTTTGAGAGAGCAACAACAACAACAACAATGACCCAGTGTAATCCCACTTGTGGGGTCTGGGGAGGGTAGTATGTACGCAGACCTTACCTCTATTCTGAGGGGTAGAGAGGTTGTTTCCAGGAGACCCTCAGCTCAAGAAGACGACAAGAGACGGTATATTAGTATTATCAATAAAATCATAATAGAATAACAACGATATAAAAAAAAACACGAAGTAGATGGAAAGTACACAATAACCAGTAGGTAAAGACCGACATCAATAGAAACCACTAACATTCTAAAACTAAAACCTAACTGGCAAGTCTCACTCTGATGCGCCGAAGAAATATTCACAACTACCTCCTAACCTACAACTTTAATGCTCGACCTCCACAATTCCCTGTCAAAGGCCATGTCCTCAGTAATCCTAAGTCGTGCCATGTCCTGCCTGATCACCTCTCCCCAATACTTCTTGGGCCGTCCTATACCTCTCCTCGTGCCCATCACAGCTAGTCGCTCACATCTCCTCACCGGAGCATCAATGCTCCTCCTCTGAATGTGCCCGAACCATCTGAGTCTTGCTTCCCTCATCTTGTCCTCCACAGGGGCTACACCCACCTTCTCCCGAATAGCTTCATTCCTAATCTTATCTATCGTAGTATGCCTGCACATCCACCTCAATATCCTCATCTCTGCTACTTTCATCTTTTGGATATGTGAGTTCTTAACTGGCCAACACTCGATCCCGTACAACATGGCAGGCCTAACCACTGCTTTATAACATGGCAGGCCTAACCACTGCTTGAGTTTGAGAGAGCGTGTTAGAATATTAAGTTATAGTGTTGGAATGTTAGAAGTGTTAATTTCATTAGTTAAATATTGTCCTACATTGGAACAAAAATTATGTGTATTATGATTTATGGGTGGCACCTATAAATAAGTGCCTCTTCTCTTCTCTCAGTTGTTGGTCATGGCAAGTGATGGATGTGTGATTTTCCATTATATTTAATTGATTCAATATGGCAATGCAGGATTGAATGTTTTTTACTATCATTTTGAAGCATTACTTCCCTGGCACCAAGAAATAACATTCAGAAGTATGACCTTTGGAACAAACAATCCAAGAAAGTTCAACCTTTGGAACAACCTAAAGGTCTAGAATCCAATGTAATCCAGCTAAGATAGAGATGACCAAACTCTTAGTCAATATCTCATTTTAAACTATTAGTCATGACTCAAGCGATTGACATTTTCTTTCACTACTCTCCCTTGTTGAATTGGTTGCTGTTAGATATGTACATAATGTAGTCTTGTCCCACATTGGAATAGGAGTAGTATGTCCTTGTATAGTATAGCTATAAATAAGGACCTCTTGTATTGTATTGAACACACAATATCAATATATCATATTTTCTTCCGTGCCTTCTCACATGGTATCAGAGCTATCGTGAGAGATTTATCGCTGTGCATAAATTCCAGCGATTCCGGGAAGTGAAATCAGTCACCAGAACCCTTTTTTTCCGGCGATTTTTCAAAGTTGTTTTGCATCTGCTTTGTCTCGGTTAGTGTTGTGCAAAATCCAACACTACCACAAGAGTAGTCACTGTCCGGCGATCAAACCCCAGTGAAAATCTCCGGCGGTAGTCGGTCGGAAGAAAATTTTCCGGCAAAGTTCTGACGTCGCGTGGGCCACCTTGTGGCCATTTTTTGGCGACGATTCTTCAGGACAGATTATTCCCCTTGCAATTCCGAGCCTACCCATCCAGGTTACACCAAATTCCGACCACTTTTATATTTTTCCAGCGTGAACAGTGATTTCAGAAGTGGACTTCCGGCCATTTTTTGAAAAAGTTTCTTCCGAACAGTTGGGTCGTCTGGTAATTCCGATCCTACCCCTACTGTTTTTATTTCATTCCGACCACTTTGAATTTTTCTGGCTGCTACAGTAATATTCCGAGAGCTACAGTATTTCTGGCGTGAACATTGTTTTCCGACGCAGAACAATGTTTTGTTTTCCTGCTGTAAACAATGTTTTCTCAGCGATTTCTTCAGTTTTCCCAAAGGAGTTACTAATTTTCACTATTTCAAGTTAATCCTACTACTATTAATTGTAGCGACATGGGAACCGATACTTCGAATAGTCGGATGGTTTCTTTAGTGGATTATTTTGAGTTTCTTCAGTACAAAGCAGGTAAGCAGACATCTTCTGAGATAGCTTCCGTTGTTCAAACAGGTAATAGCGTGACTTGTGTCTCTCAATCTTCATCCTTTGAGTTTTGGGTCATTGATTCAGGTGCATCGGATCATATTTATGGTAACACATCTCTTTTCACTACTTTTCGTATTCTCAATCTCTTCCAAGAGTCACAATGGCCAAGGGTCTCAAACCATGGCAACTGCAATAGGTCAAGCAAGCCCAATTCCTTCCTTACCTTTAGATTTAGTTCTTTATGTCCCTAATAGTCCTTTTAATCTTATAGCTGTTAGTCGCCTAGCCAAATCACTTAAATGTGCCGTTTTATTTCTTGATGACTATGTTTTTATACAGGAACGCAGTACAGGGCAGATCATTGGTACCGGGCGTGAATCAAATGGACTTTATTACCTTATCCTTGCTAAATCACATGGACTCACATCTTGTCTTCCTTCAACAACTTGTCCTGTTACTGATTCACCAGATTTATTACATAAATGGTTGGGACATCCTAGTTTGTCAAAACTTCAGAAAATGGTACCTGGTTTATCTCACTTGTCAGCTCTAGAGTGTGAGTCTTTCCTCGACGTATTGATAATCGAGTAGAGTCACCTTTTACTTTAGTCTATTCAGATGTTTGAGGTCCTAGTCGGGTCAGTTCTACCTTAGGATTCCGCTACTTTGTTAGTTTCATTGATGACTATTCTAGGTGCACCTTGATATTTTTGATAAAAAATCGATCTGAGTTGTTTTCTATTTTCCAGACCTTTCACGCTGAAATTCAAAATCAATTTGGGGTTTCCATTCGCACATTTCGTAGTGATAATGCCCGAGAGTATTTTGTCTTTCCCATTTTAGTAGTTTATGAAATCTCATGGGATTATTCATCAAACATCTTGTCCGTACACATCTCAACAAA